GACCAGGCAATGGGGTCATGACCTTGACCCCTTTGCCTTCACATTTCCATGACCAGGTTGCCAAAGCGGACTTCAATAATGACATTTACCTCAAGACGTTTGGTATTTGCGTCAATTATGAAATGACCGAGCTGAAAGGTCGGGTTCTGCCTGCGCCCAAGCTGCAGTATGGTGGCCGGGTAGGCCCAGACAGACTACCAGTTACTTCCCTTACACTGGCTGATGACATCCTCTTTGACATCAAGCTGACATTTCCCACGTTTTTTTAAATATTGCACATGTGCTAACAATTGTAAAAAAATAAATATATAAAACGTTTGATACTAAAATGTTAATACAAGCTGGTTTCACATTTTTCTCTCATAACATTTTAAATAGCTTTAAATTTTAGTGTGAAGTTAGAGGGACTACAGCTGTTGAAGCAAAAAATGTCAACAGTTTAATTGTAGGAGTAGGTCAGGATTTTACAAAGATATTAGAGAGACTGTTTGTTTCAATTGTATAAGCCAGACAGTTTGTTTCAATTGTATAAGCCAGACAGTTTGTTTCAATTGTATAAGCCAGACAGTTTGTGTTAAACGCCTGCAAGGTCTACAATGGCTTGAATGAAATATCATAATATGCTAAAGGAAAGATATTTGAAGAACAGCATCATAATAAAGTTGAAAAATCTTAGCATAATACCACCTTAAAGTTAAAAAAAAAGTTACATAGATTTCCGCTGAAAAAAGGAAAGTTATAGGGATAATATCAGCTGAATGTAAGGAACGTTGTAGGGGTAAATATTGGCTGAAATAAGTAAAGTTGTAGGGATAATATCAGCTGAATGTAAGGAACGTTGTAGGGGTAAATATTGGCTGAAATAAGTAAAGTTGTAGGGATAATATCAGCTGAATGTAAGGAACGTTGTAGGGGTAAATATTGGCTGAAATAAGTAAAGTTGTAGGGATAATATCAGCTGAATGTAAGGAACGTTGTAGGGGTAAATATTGGCTGAAATAAGTAAAGTTGTAGGGATAATATCAGCTGAATGTAAGGAACGTTGTAGGGGTAAATATTGGCTGAAATAAGTAAAGTTGTAGGGATAATATCAGCTGAATGTAAGGAACGTTGTAGGGGTAAATATTGGCTGAAATAAGTAAAGTTGTAGGGATAATATCAGCTGAATGTAAGGAACGTTGTAGGGGTAAATATTGGCTGAAATAAGTAAAGTTGTAGGGATAATATCAGCTGAATGTAAGGAACGTTGTAGGGGTAAATATTGGCTGAAATAAGTAAAGTTGTAGGGATAATATCAGCTGAATGTAAGGAACGTTGTAGGGGTAAATATTGGCTGAAATAAGTAAAGTTGTAGGGATAATATCAGCTGAATGTAAGGAACGTTGTAGGGGTAAATATTGGCTGAAATAAGTAAAGTTGTAGGGATAATATCACCTGTTTGGGGAAATTGTAATAATGCTAATAAGCAAACTAAGCAGAGGAGATTTGTATAATTAATAACAGCATTTAGTGTAATTAGAACAATAGAAGCAAATTAAGGTCAACATAAGTACCTACCTGTTGTATAGATTATATAAGCCTACCTGTAATAAACCTTGTGAAAAATAAAATATTTCTTGAAATAATAGTAAAACATGGGGAGATATTAATCTAATTGAATGTAAAGAAACATAATTTAAAGTATGCTCACATAAATATTTAAGCTTACCACACAAAGTAATTGTAATAATGTCAGCTGAAAGCACAAAGCAATTGTAATAAGAATATCAACGCCTTTGGTAGGCACATGTTGTAACTGAATTAGAGCACAGAGGAATTGTCACAGAGGAATTTTAGATATAAAACAATCGAACTGGTCTGTAGAGAAGAATGTAATTTAAAATTTTAAAAAATTCACAACAATTGCTACAAAACAGCTTACAGCACAAAGTAATTGTTATAGTGTCAACTGAAATCACAAAGTAATTGTAATTCTATCAGCTTAAAGCTTAAATGAATTGTAATAGTATCAGCTTAAAGCACTAAGTAATTGCAATATCAGCTCACAGCACATAATAATTATGATATCAGCTTTTAGCATAAAACTGTTATAGAGTAAGAGCACAAAGGACTTGTAGTAATAAAATCAGCTTATAGTACAAAATAATTGAAAGGGAAGTCTCTTGAATCAAAAAGGATGTTTTCAGCCTGCTATTACTGACAGCATTGTATCTTATTTAAAGGCCATATACTCTTCCTTATACCTTTTGTTTTTCTGTTTGTGTTTGTGTGTAATTTAATTCCCTTTATCTATGACCTCACTTACGGAACGCCCTCTAAAGCAGACCGGTTAGTTGTGTATCCTTCACAGGACATTGCAGAACCAACCCCAACAGCCCCTGGCTGTTGTGTGGTTTTTCTAGTCAAATTTACGTCCAGTAGTGTCTAAAGCAGACAGTGTGCATTCATATATACCATTGTGATTAATAATGTTGGTGAATGCTAGTAATTATCCACAAATGTGATACTGGTGCCCTCAAGGGAAACAAAAAAGAAGCTACTAAGTATGGTTGGTAATAGACTGACTGACAGCCTCGTTTCTGCAAGATTAAGTCAGTCATGATAAGATCTCATTAGCTGGACAGAACAATAACTCGGCTGACCGAGGGTCAAGGAGACTAAACTTTGAGAAGTGAACCATTTGCGGAGAAAATTAATGAGTTTCTATCAATGACTGAACATTTTTTCACAAGGAAAAACCTCTGAGGTTTGGCACCTGGGATGTTAAAACTGTACGACATTTGGATAGAGCAGAGATGGTAGGGAAATCCAAATATAACGCTAGTGTTTTCAAATAATGGGAAGCAAGGGGGAAATAAGCAGACAAGGGGCTTATAGACATGGGTTAATAGTTCTCAGGCAGTATAGAGGGAAAATGGCCCCCTTACAGTGAAGTAGTAGCTTTTAGTAAAACCTCACTTCTTAATATAGAATCGGGACCTTCTATAGGCGACCCACCTGATGGTCTAATCCGAGCATACGAAACCGAACAAAACAAAAAAATAATCATACACCTGTTTGATTTGGCCAGGAAGGATCCGGTCAACAAATGCCTGCAGAAGTCGTATGTGTTGGCTGAAATGTGCAAATATTGCAGCTTTGCTGTAAATGGACACAACAACACGATTACATCTGTGGATCAACTCAGGAGAAGTTTGATTTAGTTTTTGATATTAATAATGGTGGGAGATCCTGAAGCATTAAAAAAGTAGAAAATCTGTAGAAGGTGAAAGAAATTCAGTTTAGTACAAAAGATAATACTTCAGTTTATTTAACATCAGATTAGTATCGCTGAAAAAGATCATAAATATACAGAACAACTTCAGCAATGATTAAACTCTAAACATTAACTAGTGGCTGCACAGAATAGAAGGAAGAATTTTGGATGCTGGGCTTTGAGAGAAAACCAACCACACTCCAGCCAGTAGAAAGGTGAAGAAAATGGGCTGGATATAACACAGCCTTAGGGTTATTAGTCTAACTAAAAAGTTCTTTTTCTAGAACCCACAGGGCTAATGAAATAAATGGAGACATATGAATAATCTAGGAATGATACAGAGGAAGATGTAAAAGATAGGATATCTTTGCATACGTTTGGTGATAGTCTGTGCAGATTGTTAGATAAGAGGATAAGATAAATTTCTTTTTGTCTGAATAAAAAGAAAAGTATCTTTGTTGTGAATGTTGAGAAAGTTTTCAGTGATGGTATTTCAGTACTATAATACAACAGTAATACTACAGCTTTGTTTTGGTGATATTTCAGTGTTGTTCACTTAGTTTAAAAAAAAATTTAATTTAGAAAAATATTTTGCTATATTTTTTTTAAACAAATTCATTTTTGCAGATTAGTTGTTGCCCTAGTCTGCTTTAGAAAAGGTTTCCAGTGAAGTGTGTTTGTGTGTTCTTGTTTTTAAATGTAAGGGGTCATTTGTGCTGTTATAAAGTGACATTTGTTGTGTATCTGTGCGTGTGTTTGTACTGTCAGTGCTCACCTTTAACAGTGGCATGGTGTGGGACAGCATTGGAGCCATTGTGTTCAAGAAAAAGCTACAGTAACCTGATATTCTTGAACCCAAACGTTAGCCAATGCTTTTATGTAACAGATCCACTAGTCCACATCATGGCTTTGTTTGACCTTTCTGTTGGCGTTTTGGCTCAGTTCAAGGTCCTAAACATTAAACAGAGAAATGTTTGCTGCCTTTTCTGGGCCAACTTTACTATACACATACACCATCTTTAAAAAAAAAATTAATGTTATTGTCCTTAAGGTTGTTGCTAAGTGTAGGGATATTTCGGCAGCATGCATTGCCTTAGAACTCAGTAGCTACCAGTGCATATTAGTACTACTGTATGAATTGTCCCTATCTGCTTGTCTCCAGAATACTGTACGGATACATAACCAAAGATTTGTTATCACTGCATGGCCACGTCACGTTTGTGTCTGCCTTGCCCACTAGATCACCATTATTATTTATAACATTGACTCCATTACCAGTTCCCTGACTTATAACTTGTCCCATTGTGTGCCATAAATTGTTTCATTTATTTTTTTTTATCTGTGCACTTTTTAAATTTTATGTTTTGACATATTCTTTATCATGCCACATGATACATTTTTTTGTTTTGTTTTTGTTTTTAAACTCATAACATTGCACAGGTTGTTTGTTTATTGATATTTCTAACATTATTTTTGATGAAATATTTCTGGCCAACTGGTTTTTTTACCGTTTTCATTAAGGTCTGTAGAATTAAAAAGTAATCTTGGAAACATTAATGCAGCCGAACCCTCCAGCGAAGCAGCTAAAGCAGAAGAAGAACAGCTCAGTCGAATTCTACCATAGAATCCTGTTTGCGGATTTCATAATCACCCCATTTTATTTTAGAATGAAAATAACTCTGTTATTGATCTGTTGCTTCTCGGTGCCCGCGCCGGTTTTCTCCCTTTCTACTTCCTCGACCAGATTCGTAAAGCAAATTTCAATGCGGATCCCTACCTGCAGACCTTCGGCATTACTATTCAAACACAAATGATGGACGTCACAGGCAGGGTGTTAACTGCTCCAAAATTGCAATATGGTGGTAAGGTAAGGACATCGTTCATATTTTTGAAGCACAGCGGTGAGTTGTCATCTGGCCAGTTTCTATCACCTCCACAGTTTTTCATCTCTCCAGTTTCTGTGGCCCTAATGTCTAGATTAGATGCCAGCTTTTTCAATGTTTTCATGTCAGAAGTCACAACCACAAGGACCTCATTTGGCCTGGCAGTCTTTGAATAAAACTATTGTTTGCACAGTGCAGAGTATGTTTTGTTGCACTGACTTTGAAAGGGGCATTCTTGTTAACTGTTTTTAAAAAAAATGAACAGAGATGTTAAACAAGCCATAATGTAGTATGTGGTTATTATATTTGTTGTTACATCCCTACTGTTAGTTGTGTATGTGCTGTATATTAACACAATCACATATTAACTTGTAATACATGACAGTATTATTACCCTTTTTTTTTTTTTTAACACTGAAATAAAATTGATAGAATAAATTAAATTTAAAAAAATATATATTAGTTATAGGTTTCAAGGAATAATTGAATGTCTTTCCTCTCCTATTTTAGGCATTAGAGACGATTCAGTCTTGTTTGTGTTGTCATAATTACACATTGACATACTCACATGTATATGGTTTTGCTGACTGTTGATATGTCATTTATGATCACTTGAGGTCTGTGTTAGAAGATATCTGTCCTACACCACTCAGCCGTCAAGACTTTAAAGAATATGTTATGGCAGCAAAAATAAATTCAAATTCAATAGGGCATTTTACGGTATATTGCACAACATAAGTATTTTTATGTTTGATTTGAGTAGTAGAAAAAGTGCATTAAATAATGAAAAACTTGGTATAAGTGATCTTAAAAGAATTTAAACATACAATTTTTCTTCTTTCAAAATGCTTGTCCTGTCTCTGTCGACAGTGTTGGCTCCTGAATGTGTTGTAGTTTTAGTCTGAAACCATTCAGTTTAGCATTCTGACTTCCAGTGGGTTGTTGTTCTAGTCTGGTGTGTTGTTCTAGTCTGGTGTGTTGTTGTTCTAGTCTGATGGGTTGTTGTTCTAGCCTGGTGGGGTGTTGTTCTAGCCTGGTGGGGTGCTGTTCTAGCCTGGTGGGGTGTTGTTCTAGCCTGGTGGGGTGCTGTTCTAGCCTGGTAGGGTGCTGTTCTAGCCTGGTGGGGTGCTGTTCTAGCCTGGTGGGGTGTTGTTCTAGCCTGGTGGGGTGTTGTTTTAGCCTGGTGGGGTGCTGTTCTAGCCTGGTGGGGTGTTGTTCTAGCCTGGTGGGGTGTTGTTCTAGCCTGATGGGTTGTTGTCCTAGCCTGGTGGGTTGTTGTTCTAGCCTGGTGGGGTGTTGTTCTAGCCTGATGGGTTGTTGTCCTAGCCTGGTGGGGTGTTGTTCTAGCCTGATGGGGTGTTGTTCTAGCCTGATGGGTTGTTGTTCTAGTCTGGTGTGTTGCTGTTCTAGCCTGGTGGGGTGTTGTTCTAGCCTGGTGGGGTGTTGATCTAGCCTGATGGGTTGTTGTTTTAGTCTGGTGTGTTGCTGTTCTAGCCTGGTGGGGTGTTGTTCTAGCCTGGTGGGGTGTTGTTCTAGCCTGGTGGGGTGTTGTTCTAGCCTGGTGGGGTGCTTTATATCCTGGTGGGGTGTTGTTCTAGCCTGGTGGGGTGTTGTTCTAGCCTGGTGGGGTGCTGTTCTAGCCTGGTGGGGTGCTGTTCTAGCCTGGTGGGGTGTTGTTCTAGCCTGGTGGGGTGCTGTTCTAGCCTGGTAGGGTGCTGTTCTAGCCTGGTGGGGTGCTGTTCTAGTCTGGTGGGGTGTTGTTCTAGCCTAGTGGGGTGTTGTTCTAGCCTGGTGGGGTGTTGTTCTAGCCTGGTGGGGTGCTGTTCTAGCCTGGTGGGGGGGTGTTCTAGCCTGGTGGGGTGCTGTTCTAGCCTGGTGGGGTGTTGTTCTAGCCTGGTGGGGTGTTGTTCTAGCCTGGTGGGGCGCTGTTCTAGCCTGGTGGGGTGCTGTTCTAGCCTGGTGGGGTGTTGTTCTAGCCTGATGGGTTGTTGTCCTAGCCTGGTGGGGTGTTGTTCTAGCCTGGTGGGGTGCTGTTCTAGCCTGGTGGGGTGTTGTTCTAGCCTGGTGGGGTGTTGTTCTAGCCTGGTGGGGTGTTGTTCTAGCCTGGTGGGGTGCTGTTCTAGCCTGGTGGGGTGCTGTTCTAGCCTGGTGGGGCGCTGTTCTAGCCTGGTGGGGCGCTGTTCTAGCCTGGTGGGGTGTTGTTCTAGCCTGGTGGGGTGTTGTTCTAGCCTGGTGGGGTGTTGTTCTAGCCTGGTGGGGTGTTGTTCTAGCCTGGTGGGGTGCTGTCCTAGCCTGATGGGGTGTTGTCCTAGCCTGATGGGGTGTTGTTCTAGCCTGGTGGGGTGTTGTTCTAGCCTGGTGGGGTGCTGTTCTAGCCTGGTGGGGTGCTGTTCTAGCCTGGTGGGGTGTTGTTCTAGCCTGGTGGGGTGATGTTCTAGCCTGGTGGGGTGCTGTTCTAGCCTGGTGGGGTGCTGTTCTAGCCTGGTGGGGTGCTGTTCTAGCCTGGTGGGGTGTTGTTCTACCCTTGTGGGGTGCTGTTCTAGCCTGGTGGGGTGCTGTTCTAGCCTGATGGGGTGTTGTTCTAGCCTGGTGGGGTGCTGTTCTAGCCTGGTGGGGTGCTGTTCTAGCCTGGTGGGGTGCTGTTCTAGCCTGGTGGGGTGTTGTTCTAGCCTGGTGGGGTGTTGTTCTAGCCTGGTGGGGTGTTGTTCTAGCCTGGTGGGGTGTTGTTCTAGCCTGATGGGGTGTTGTTCTAGTCTAAAATGATTTAGTTTAACATTTTTTCTGTCATTCAATAAACTAATCAGTAACAAATCACAGATTCAGTGAAAATAAGTAGGATGTTTGCATAATTGGCCAGTATCTACATATGTAGATGTTCTCTGTTAATGCCAGACCTGACACCCCACATTATGCCAACATCTTCAGGTGGATATGTGCACTGAGAGGATACTAGCCTTATCTTAGCAGACCAGACCCTTTGGTTTTTGATCAGGCCTTTGGTCTGCAAGAAAAGCTGCGAGAGGCATACAATAGAGCATGGCTGCTGTTCTGACGCAACATCTTCTGTAACTTGCTTTGTTCCAAATGTTTTGGTGTTAACAAAGCAGGATGAGAGAGGGACCATGCTGCACAGGCAACAAATATGTTCTAAGATGAGAGAGGGACCATGCTGCACAGGCAACAGATATGTTCTAAGATGAGAGAGGGGCCATGCTGCACAGACAACAGATATGTTCTACGATGAGAGAGGGACCATACTGCACAGACAACAGATATGTTCTAAGATGAGAGAGGGACCATACTGCATAGGCAAGAGATATGTTCTAAGATGAGAGAGGGACCATACTGCACAGGCAACAGATATGTTCTAAGATGAGAGAGGGACCATGCTGCACATGCAACAGTTATGTTCTAAGATGAGAGAGGGACCATACTGCACAGACAACAGATATGTTCTAAGATGAGAGAGGAACCATACTGCACAGACAACAAATATGTTCTAAGATGAGAGAGGGACCATGCTCCACAGGCAACAGATATGTTCTAAGATGAGAGAGGGGCCATGCTGCACAGGCAACAGATATGTTCTACGATGAGAGAGGGACCATACTGCACAGACAACAGATATGTTCTAAGATGAGAGAGGGACCATGCTGCACAGGCAACAGATATGTTCTAAGATGAGAGAGGGACCATGTTGCACATGCAACAGATATGTTCTAAGATGAGAGAGGGACCATGCTGCATAGGCAACAGATATGTTCTAAGATGAGAGAGGGACCATGTTGCACATGCAACAGATATGTTCTAAGATGAGAGAGGAACCATACTGCATAGGCAAGAGATATGTTCTAAGATGAGAGAGAGACCATACTGCACAGACAACAAATATGTTCTAAGATGAGAGAGGGACCATACTGCACAGACAACAAATATGTTCTAAGATGAGAGAGGGACCATGTTGCACAGACAACAGATATGTTCTAAGATGAGAGAGGGACCATGCTGCATAGGCAACAAATATGTTCTAAGATGCTCAAGTTTTGTGCTGTGAAAAGCAGCAGCCTCCTACCTTGCCTTGATTGGTGTCACCCTGGGCCTTGATTCCATCCCTATGACACTATCACCGTGGAGCTTCTTTTCTTTAATTGGCATCTTAGTGTTGTTTGATCTCTGTTTATATCTTTGACCATGTGTATTATTCTAGTTATAGCACTGTGAATTTTTTTTAAAATGTCGTATCAAGCCAACTATAACAATGTTCATGTGACCGTTACTTTGATTACCTGTGGTGCTGTGAAGTTATGTGTGGAAGTCCTCCTGAATTGATTCATCCCTATCGTTTAAGCACCTGTAATGTTGGAATATCTTCAGGTCAATTTTCTTGTTTGTGATTCTGATGTTGCTTTTACTAATCTGAAACTTACTTGTTCACACTATATTACTTCTTTTTCTGCTTCCTTAGCATTAGGACAACTTCTTCGGTGTTGAGTGAAATGTTCATTTTATCCATGTTTAGGATCTTGTTGACATCTCTATCCCATCTTGTTTCCTTTGCCTAATGCCATAATTCAAGTCTTGTATTTCATATCCTTAAACACCGGTATATTTCTTTATTGCTGAATTGTTTTTACATTCACTTTTGGCACTGTATCTAGTTAACTTTACCTATCTGTTCTTGTTAACTTATCCATCTGCTCAAGTTAACTTTACCCATCTATTTTAGGTAGCATCACTCATCTGCTCAAGTTAACTTTACCCATCTGTTTTAGGTAGCATCACTCATCTGTTCAAGTTAACTTTACCCAAATTAACTTTACCCATCTGTTTTAGGTAGCATCACTCATCTGTTCAAGTTAATTTTACACAAGTTAACTTTAATCATCTGTTTTAGGTAGCATCACTCAACTGCTCAAGTTAACTTTACCTATCTGTTTTAGTGGATACAAGTTTACACTCTAAATCACAGGTTTTAGTTACTTTTAAATATAACCTCACGCTGTAATTGTAGCTCTTAACTTGACAGACTACCCAAAATACTACATAACATACGCATGACATGCAGTTTTTCTATTCTATTTTATGGTAGGCAGTTGTCAAGACGTTCAGTTTCTAAGTGCATGCTAGTAACCACACAAAAAAAGCACCTTCAACTATTTCACAAATTGAACAAATAATTTTGTTTTCAGTTACAGTTGTATTTGTTTTCTCCCAAAATTATGCCAGTTTTTTAAGTCGCATTGTCAAGTTGTAGCCTTCTTTCTTTAGGTTGCATGTAGTTTGTATTTCTTTGAAATTTTTTCCTTTGAAACCTTATCTTATGTTTGTTTATTACTCTTTTTCTCAAGTTCCACCTTTAAAATCTGTATTATGCAGACAATTTAGATTATAGTAGATAAATGAGTATCGGACTTTTAGATGAGCTTTTGTTAGAATAGATAGATAAAGTTATGTTATTAGATGAGATTATGTGATCGCAGTTGATAATTTCAGCTACTAGAAGACCTAACATATTACATTGTGTTACTCAACAACCTCTTATGTTAGCCCAGGTTATTTCACAACGTAACCTAACCACACTAGACTAACCTCTAGTTGTTTGTTTGACAAGTCGGAACTAACCACAGTGGACTAGTGAACGGGCTAATGCATGATTGTATCCCCCACTTACCCACTTTGTTTACTCTGCCAGTGTTTCATGTGTTGTGTATAGCATTGTGTAATTATAACCGTACTTGTATTCGGTTCATTAACATACAGGTGTGTGAGTGAGTGGAAGCACTGTTGTTTCATACTGTGTTGGTTTGGTATTGAGCTATATTTGAAGACTGAACTTACTCTATACCAAGAATCATGTTGAGCTATATTTGAAGACTGAACTTACTTTATACCAAAAATTGTGTTGAGCTATATTTTAAGACTAAACTTACTCTATACCAAAAATCATGTTGAGCTATATTTTAAGACTAAACTTACTCTATACCAAAAATCATGTTGAGCTATATTTTAAGACTAAACTTACTCTATACCAAAAATCATGTTGAGCTATATTTTAAGACTAAACTTACTCTATACCAAAAATCATGTTGAGCTATATTTTAAGACTAAACTTACTCTATACCAAGAATCATGTTGAGCTATATTTTAAGACTAAACTTACTCTATACCAAGAATCATATTAAGCTGTATTTTAAGACTAAACTTACTCAATACCAAGAATCATGGGGAGCTAAATTTTAAGAGTAAACTTATTCTGTACCAAGTATTATGTACGTTAAACAATGATGCACAACCAGCTACATATGTGTTTACTAATTCTCTATTATTCATGCATAACTGCAGTCAATCAAGTCACTTTATTTGAATCAAGTCACCTCATTTGTCATGAATTTGTGTTTTTAAAAGTTAAGATGCATTGATTCAAATGGGACAACGGTCACTCTTAATACTTCACATGTTTATATTAGAATTGAAGATGTGCACAGCTGAACAGAAACATGTTTGTCATTTGTTTGGTTTAGAGTATGTTTGTCATTTGTTTGGTATAGAGTATGTTTGTCATTGGTTTGGTATAGAGGATGTTTGTCATTTTTTTGGTATAGAGTATGTTTGTCATTTTTTTCCCTGTATGTTGGTAGGTATTACAGTTAATAAAATTATTGACAGTAAAATATTTAGTAATGGTAGAATTTATTGCAGAAAACTTTAAAATCAATTGCTTAGTGTTAATTATTAAATTGTTACTGCGAAGTCTTAGAAGCAGCATGTTAGGGTAATGTCTTTCTTTAAAGATAATTTGTAACATGAATGTTAGATTATAAAGATTATTATAAATAGTTATTATTGTTAGAAGTGTTAGCCAAATGTATTTAACTTGCTAACATTCTAATTAATTATGTCAGGGTGGCCTTTGGAGAATTACTTTTATTTGTAGTATATACACTGTCAGCTGTCACTCCTAGCAGTATCTCACAACTGAATGTTTGAATGGTGACTTTTTTTTTTTTTTAAATGTCTGTCGGAGCAGATAACATGGCTGCATTTTGATGTTTTCCCCCACATCTGTCTTTTAAGTTCTGTCTCAAAACTCTTTAACTTATTCTTTTTTTTTTTTTTTAAATCTCAGCATGGTTGTCTTGACCTCTTTGGTAAACTTCAAATGTGGTTCTTTTGATTGTTTTTTTTGTTGTGGTAGAAACTTCTTCTAGTGTGATTGCCTTTTGAATTTTTTTGAACATTCTTGTTTTCCCTTTTTTTAAATGATTTTTTTTGGGTAGTCTTTTATTTCTGTTCTTCTTTTTAAAAAAAAAAGTCAAATAATGTCTCAGTTTAAATTATGGAATAATTTAATAAAGGAGAAATAATTGAATGTGTTCCCTGTGTGGGTGCCAGGAGCCTTAGTGAGGAGAACCAGCATTGATGCTCTGCCTCCACAACAAGCAGGTCACAAGAGTCCACTCAGTGGGAGAGCATCCTTCAAAGTCGGAGTATGTCTGCCTGAGAGGCAAGGAAACCAGTGCCTGCATTCAAATAAGGCAGATCTGTGAAACAGATGTGCACGCAACACTCAGGTTCTGGAACAAGGCTAAAGTCCAGAGGTTGATGGACACCCAGAACTTTGTGTCGGAGTTTACAGCCGGTGAATGTAAAGAGGAAGAAGATAATGTATCAATTTAAGATGATATCCTCAGCATGTTGCAAGTCAGGTCGTTTGCACTGTCCTCAAGACCAGCTGGGAAGACTCTTGATCTTTGGCCACTTCTCCTTCTCACGTGTTACCATTTCCAGGTTGGAGTGAATGTTTTATGTTCCACTTTCATGCTGGTTGATCCCTGCCTCTTCTTCCAGTGGCATCCATCACCTGGCAGGTGTAAATGTGATGTTGAAAAGGCCACCCAGGCTAAAGCTACCAGGTTCGAGCCTACTACGTGGCAGCCATGTTTCGCATGTGATGTTTTTAATAGGTCGCTTCTGTATCTTGTAAAGTGGCAGTATTTTTCTCTTCCTTGGCCCCTAACATTGACAGAATTTGTAACATTTAAATTCAGAAGCTATTTTTCATATTTTTTGTGTTTAAATGGGTCTCGTTATTTAGGAAATGTGAGTAAATGCTGGCTAGCTGATCATGTGTTTTAATGTATAATGTTTCGAGTGAAACATTGGTGATAATCTAGTCTTCACATTTGTTTTTCCACTACTGAACAGACAAAAGCTCAGGCGGTGCCGAACCAGGGTGTCTGGGATATGCGAGGGAAGCAGTTTTATCAAGGCATTGAAATTCGAGTCTGGGCCATTGCTTGCTTTGCTCCGCAGCGGACAGTCCGTGAAGATGCCCTTAGGTAAGTCGTAAGTCTCATCATACTGAGTCTGATCACCATTGTGTGGCAGGTCCTGTGCGGAATACCGATCTCATCACGGCCTGCCTGAAAGAATCTTTGTCTCTTGCCAGCTCTCCTGCCTCTTGCACTTTCATATCTAAAAAGTCTCTTATATCGTGCCTATCTTTGTGATGGTTGAACCCTGCCCCTTTTTCCTGATACCATTCCTTCTACTACTGTTTTTTCCAGTCTGCCATGGCGCTTGATATGGCCAAAGTATTTCACTTCCTAGACAAGATCTTCTTTGATGTTCACATCTGTTACAATGTCAGTATTTTTTTTTTTTTAAAGTCCAAGGTATTCTGAGAATCTTTTTATAGCAATTCAGCTGCAAAGCCCCTATTTCTCATGCTGAGTGTAGTACAGGTTATATATGACTCTTCAGTATTTATATGGATCTACCGAACAGCGTGTTTCTGAGTTTTTGTAAAGTAAGCAGAAAATGCTACCACTGAACCCTTTGTGTATGTCATAAGTTAGGTTAGTTGCTTGTCCTTTACAGAGTATTGCAGATCCAACCCCAGCATTTGTTGGCTGTTAGTGATTTTACAAGGCACTTTTATATTCACTAGTTTGCCATTGCTTTCTGAATGGCTAGCTCTCGAAATTACTGTCAAAACCAATGCAAGGCAGTCAGCTGCCAGTGCCTACAGCTGGGATCGAATGTGGCACTGCGACATTATGTCAGAAGAGGTAACTAAGAAAGGTACCTCTTTCTTTCCTTCGAAGTCGAAGTACAGCTGCCCATGAGGCAGGGAACATTAAAACGGTTGTACACGCAAAAATCAGGTCCAGGTGAAAGCCAAAAGTCTAAGCAGACGATTAACCGGGAACTTCCGCCGAAATTCACAGCCGGTGAACGCCCCAAAAAAAAAAAAAAAAAAATTTACCTTTTTCTGTAAATGGGTGCAACATCCAGCCAACCGGGATAAGTGGCAGAAGGATTGGACAGTTGATTCTGCAGTGCAAGTTAATGAGGGAGCTGTCTGTGCTGACCCTGAAAGCATTCATTGTGGTAACAGAGAAAACTGACAATGGGCAAATAATGTCCATAGCAGATAATAATGTCCCTTTCTCCTTTACCATAAACTTCCAAGTTTATTTCTTCTTCTTTTAACCTGCTCAAGATTCTGGACTGCCTCGTTGGCCTGTCTGTGCTATTCTTTGCATTAAAAAAACATTGCCACTTGTCACTAAACTTCCAAGTTTATTTCTTCTTTTTTTTTAACCTGCTCAAGATTCTGGACTGCCTCGTCGGCCTGTCTGTGCTATTCTGTGCATTAAAAAACATTGCCATTGTTATTGGCATTTCTTGGCATGTCTGTTTATTGTCCCTGTTTTACATCCATACAGTGGCGAGTTTTTGTAAAGGACTTTAACCTTTTTTTTCTGTTTTTCTTATTTTTACTGACATCATCATTAATTGCTTGCTATTGAAATTTAGCATATTTGTCCCCGATATGTTTTGTATGTTAGATTGTACCCACATGTTGCTGAAAGAACATTACAGATAATACTAATTGTGATATAGATAACATCTCTATATCTCTCCTTCTTCCTTTCCCCCACTGAATGCCGAATACATTCTTATGAATTATCCACTAGCTTTAACATAATGCCTTTTTTTGCCACAGGAACTTTACACAAAACCTTCAGCGGATCTCCAACGATGCAGGCATGCCTATCATGGGGCAGCCATGTTTCTGCAAGTACGCTACAGGACCCGACCAAGTGGAGCCCATGTTTAGATATTTGAAGAACACCTACCAAGGCCTGCAACTCATTGTGGTTGTGCTACCTGGCAAGACACCAGTTTATGGTGAGTGGGGTATTCATCTCAGTCAAGTCTGCTGTTTCTTCTTCTTGTTTGCATTCATTAGCTGTAATATCCAGCAGAAAGTTCTGGTTGTTCGCCCACTTCTAGACTTTGGTCTTGTTTCAGAACTTGCATTTTGCATGTACATTTGTTTCACAGATCTGGCTTATTTGTTTGCAGATTGCTGTGTTTTTTTCTCTCCATCTCAGACAGATGCACTCTTGACTTCAAAGGAACCCCTAACTAGTCAAATCTTACGACATGATTGTTAGGGAGGCAGAGGATCTGTCCCCCACTTCGCTGTCCACAATGGGACCCTGAAACTACATCGGGATCTGCTCTTTCAAACCTTCCTCTTCTTTTTTTTTCCTGCTGCTTCTTCTTCTTCCTCTGCTTCTTCTTCTGCTGCTGCTGCTTCTTCATCTGCTTCTTTTTCTTCAGTATTCTGAGATATGAGGTTCATGTTTGCAGATATTAGCCGCCAGGAGTCATGTCTATGATTGGCCTTGTCATCTGGTTGATGATTCCTCATGTTGATAGGTCTGTCTGTATAAGAAACTGCAGCTCTCATGAGATCTACAAAACTAGAATGAAATCAATGTCAGCTAAAAGTTGTATTCCTGAGCCATGAAGCTTGTTGAGCATATGATGTTAACCCAGTGATGGTTAGAGATCCATCCACCTTCAGGTGTTAATGGTCAAAGTATACAGGAGCCTTTCTTGACAGTGGTGTATATTCGCACACTAGCTCGCTTCGAGCACATGGTGAGACATGATTTGATTACAAAGATTCTGCTTCAAGGAACATTGGTGGGGGGGGGGGGGGTAGTCAAAGAAAAGGAGGGCAAAGAAGAACCTGGAATGACAACATCAAGAAATGGACAGGATTAAATTATCCCAACTTTATTCATCAAACAGAAGACAGTGATAAATGGTGGGTTTTAAGTACTAATCAAGACACCTCCACAACCCCTGAACAGGTCAAGGGTTATGTTATTATGTTTTGTGAATGGTCAGGATCATGGCAGCTGTCTTTACTCCCAAGATTTCTTTGGTGCACATTTTGAGTGGTCCGTTTGAAAAAACTGTCAATAGGGATTTTCACCAATAGCCACTGAGTAGACAGGCAAGTGGGTCAGCCACTTAGTAGACAGGCAAGTGGGTCAGCCACTGAGTAGACAGACAAGTGGGTCAGCCACTGAGTAGACAGGCAAGTGAGTCAGCCACTGAGTAGACAGGCAAGTGGGTCAGCCACTGAGTAGACAGACAAGTGGGTCAGCCAGTGAGTAGACAGGCAAGTGGGTCAGCCACTGAGTAGACGGGCAAGTGGGTCAGCCACTGAGTAGACGGGCAAGTGGGTCAGCCACTGAGTAGACGGGCAAGTGGGTCAGCCACTGAGTAGAAAGGCACGTGGGTCAGCCAATGAGTAGACAGTCACGTGGGTCAGCCACTGAGTAGACAGGCAAGTGGGTCAGCCACTGAGTAGACAGGCAAGTGGGTCAGCCACTGAGTAGACAGGCAAGTGGGTCAGCCAGTGAGTAGACAAGCAAGTGGGTTAGCCACTGAGTACACAGGCAAGTGGGTCAGCCACTGAGTAGACAGGCAAGTGGGTCAGCCAGTGAGTAGACAAGCAAGTGGGTCAGCCACTGAGTAGACAGGCAAGTGGGTCAGCCACTGAGTAGACAGGCAAGTGGGTCAGCCACTGAGTAGACAGGCAAGTGGGTCAGCCACTGAGTAGACAGGCAAGTGGGTCAGCCACTGAGTAGACGGGCAAGTGGGTCAGCCAGTGAGTAGACAGGCAAGTGGGTTAGCCACTGAGAAGTCAGGCAAGTGGGTCAGCCACATACTTCTTAATAGTTGCATTCAGCAATAGACCCCATACTTCCTAATTGTTGCATTCAGCAGTAGACCCCATACTTCTTAATAGTTGCATTCAGCAATAGACCCCATACTTCTTAGTAGTTGCATTCGGCAATAGACCCCATACTTCCTAATAGTTGCATTCGGCAATAGACCCCATACTTAGTGGTTGCATTCGGCAATAGACCCCATACTTCCTAATAGTAGCATTCGGCAATAGACCCCATACTTCTTAATAGCTGCATTCAGCAATAGACCCCATACTTCTTAATAGTTGCATTCAGCAGTAGACCCCATACTTCTTAATAGTTGCATTCAGCAATAGACCCCATACTTCTTAATAGTTGCATTCGGCAATAGACCCCATACTTCTTAATAGTTGCATTCAGCAATATACCCCCATACTTCTTAATAGTTGCATTCGGCAATAGACCACATACTTCTTAATAGTTGCATTCAGCAATATACCCCCATACTTCTTAATAGTTGCATTCAGCAATATACCCCCATACTTCTTAATAGTTGCATTCAGCAAAAACCAAACAAAAAAACAGAGTAAATTTAATCGCAGAAGAAAAGGAGACTGAAGGGTTTTCAGATTGTACAGCGATAAGCCTTAAAATATTCTAGGCTAGACTCTGATGAGATTTGCTGACCAGAAAATGTTCTGATTACCATTGTGGGTTGCAAGTTTTGGGGGGAAAAGAATAGACCCACTACTCCTTACAAACATGTTGTAAAAGGTGATTTTTTAGGTTTTGCTGAAATTGGATGTTTTGGACCAAAAGACATAGATATCACAGCCTAGCTGTAAACCATAACAAAACATACCTGCTGCGAGGGTAGAAGAAAAAGAAGAAATGTCAACAGTTGTAGATATCCAGTTGATGAGATGGTCAAATATAGAGTTGTACTGTTGGGAACAAATAGTGCAGCTACTGCTTGTTGGTTGCGATATGTATACCAATCTATCACATAATGTTGTTCAGAGGCATTGTATGCTGACCAAGCGTCTACAAGGTGACTGATTATGCCTCCAAACTGTAGTTAAGTGTCTGTGGTGAAGTGTGGTGAAGTACAAGGTTAACACAGTTCTCATAGTCATATCACACCACTAACCCTGAGAACAGTCCGCAGCCGACCACATCAACCAAACAGGAAGAGTCATTTCTTTACTCGTGCTTCAGCCTGTTTATTATGACAAAACACAATATGACAATGAGCATGAACTGGTGATACCGGACGACCGTCCATCTAGGCTCCACTTATACACTATAATGTTCTACCAAGGCGGTATTACATGAAAGGGAACACCTATCCTTGACTCGGCTTGAGTCCACAACATACTCCTTACTGTCTTGTTTCACTGGTGATCCTACGCCTCCTAGCGTCGTCACCCAAGACAGATTCTCCTCCTCGGTTATGTGCCCTCACTTCAGGTCACCATAACCGATCCATGATAACTGATCAGAGACTCGGCCCCAGGCAGCAAGTCTCTCGACACACCGTCTCATCAGAATCATCACCTGGTTCTCGCTAAGGGCGTGCAAACTAATGTTAGTCTTGTTTCTCCAGAAACACATCTTCCTCAGCTTCGAGCTCCTCGAGAACCTTTACACTCATCTCTCATCTCAAGCCAAATGGACCCCATCTATGCCGCTTCGACTGGCGTAGGCTATGTCGCCTCTGACCAGCCCAGCCCAGTGAATTCAACACACAACACTTCTGAGAGTTGAACCTGATCACTGTTTATAGGAGCAAAGAACACTGGACTACAGAACTGAGTCACCTGTACCTTGCTGGAACAACTTTAAAATGAGCCCAGTATGTGAGCTAGTTTATCGTTATATAAGTAGAAAGTAAAAGAGAAGAGTGGTAATTTGAGGAATCTGGTGACAAGTCTTTGTTTGGTGTCTGCAGCGGAAGTGAAGAGGGTTGGCGACATATGTTTTGGCTTGGCCACCCAGTGTGTGCAGGCCAAGAACGTGAACAAAACCACACCACAGACTCTGTCCAACCTTTGCCTTAAGATCAACGTCAAGCTGGGAGGAGTCAATAGCATTTTGTTGCCTAGTATCAGGTCAGTGCAACCTATCTCACATTTTCAGTGTTCATCATTTTCTTCATCATCATCTTCTTCCTCTTCCTCATCATCTTTTTCTTCCACATCATCATCTTCATCTTTCTCCATCATCATCTTTGTAATCATAATCTTTTTCCTTTTCTTCATCATCTTCTTCTTCTTTTTCTTAATCATCATCATCTTCTTTTTCTTCATCATCTTATTCATCTTATTCTTCCTCATTATCTTCTTCTACTTCATCATTGTCTTCTTGTTCATCTTCTTCTTCTTCTTCGTTGTCTTCTTCAGAGGGCTGCATGGTTTCGACACATGGTGTCCGCCATGAGTGCAAGAGGTTCCGGATTCAACCCCGGAAAGGGTTGGGATTTTTGTTTCAGGTGTACTTGGACTATTAGTAATTCGCCCTGTCTCTGGGTAGTAGAGCCGAACGCCCGTGTGTATTTCTTTGCGCGTAAAAAATCCCTTAGCAGTTGGAAATTGATAAAGAGTGGCCTAACAGCGCTGCCCGGACAACATTTGTTGGAGTTAAAAATCTACCCAGAGAATTTCAGGATCCTCGCCGGTGCTACAGAGCCTGTGCACTGTGCTGAGCTTCTTCAGACTCAGACTTGAGTTAGAAGAAGAACGGAGCACTTATGGGTTGCTACCCATGTGCCATGATGTTGATCCATTGTTTAAACCTTCAAACCTATCTTTGTTACCTTTACCTTCATCATCATTATCATCATCATCATCTTCCACTCTTATATCAAGCATTGTAGGGAGAAATGTTTCTGTCTAAATGTCAGTGGGTGGCACCAGTTATTGTCATTCTGTATGGATGTACAATGTTTTTAACTTCATCGATCTATGTTCGTAGACGCCCTCTTGCTGTCAGTCAGATCATGTGAGATGTAACACAAGAGTTCAAAACTTGATATTTCTGCATTTTAACCAGATGCCAAAATTATTCTTACCCCTTTATTCTCATTGTTGTGGACGTGTGGTTTTCTAGTGGATTTGAGTGGTTACATTAGAAGCTTTCCTCTGGCATCTCATCTCGCAAGTGTGGATTTGACACACATCAGTGTTTTAGCATTTGTAGCATAGGGTTGGTGTGAATATTCTATGTGTAATCCGTTGCTGTGCGGGATTAGTTATCTAAATGTGTATTACAATTAGTCTCAGTTTGTGTCTAAATGTCTAAGTGCCGTTGTCTCATTGTTGCTGTCATGGAACCGATCTGAACAAAAACATTACAGCTTCTGAGTGAGAATCAAACGAAGAATAGCATGGTAGAATTATCTAAGGGGGGATTGGATGTTGGGTGCACATGTTAGGCTGGGTTGACCTGCGAGCCAAGGTTATTTTAGAACAACATTTGCTGAATGTGGAGTTTAAGACTTTAAGCCCAGGAGCAAGCATCTAGCTGCTACATATCGGACATGATGGCCTAGATGATGGGGGTTGTGCTTTAATTTTTGTTTATAGGAGTTTGGTGGTTATTTGTTGATTTATACCGTCTTGTCACCTGTTTTCAGACCTCACGTGTTCCGTGAACCAATCATATTTCTTGGTGCTGATGTAACTCACCCGCCTGCAGGCGACACCCTTAAGCCTTCTATAGCTGCTGTAAGTTGAGTATTCTAGAGTGTCTGCAGTAAGTTGAGTGTTCTAGAGAGTCTGTTGTAAGTTGAGTGTTCTAGAGAGTCTGTTGTAAGTTGAGTGTTCTAGAGAGTCCGCTGTAAGTTGAGTGTTCTAGAGTGTCCGCTGTAAGTTGAGTGTTCTAGAGAGTCTGTTGTAAGTTGAGTGTTCTAGAGAGTCCGCTGTAAGTTGAGTGTTCTAGAGAGTCTGTTGTAAGTTGAGTGTTCTAGAGTGTCCGCTGTAAGTTGAGTGTTCTAGAGAGTCTGTTGTAAGTTGAGTGTCAGAATCTCCTCCTCAGTTGAATGGGTGGGAAAGTGTGCTGAAAGTTGAGTGTGCTACAGTGGGTATTCAAAAGTTAACCTCTGATTGGCTGATAAAAGTAAAGATATAGCAAAACCTTATTCATTGTTTTTTTTTTCAATTGCCTTTTAGCTTACTACACACCAACCCACAGTATTTGTTCAGTGCTTCACGAACAGCAAACCAGTAAACATGGAGACTGTCAGTGCTTGTTTCTCCAGTTGTGAAATTCATGGTATAATTGGTTTTCTTTTTGGCAGAAGGTCAAAATGCTTAGCTCTGACATTTCTTCTGCAATTTGGGGAGAGGGGGGGGGGGGGGGGGGGGGGGTTGAGGAATTTCTGACTAATCTGTTCAAGTAAAGTCTTTGTGTGAGCAGCGGTGTGGAGGCCATGCCTTGTCATGTAGGTTAATGACAGGACTGGTGTTCATTCATCATCATATTGGTGTGGAGGCCATGCCTTGTCATGTAGGTTAATGACAGGACTGGTGTTCATTCATCATCATATTGGTGTGGAGGCCATGCCTTGTCATGTAGGTTAATGACAGGACTGGTGGTCATTCATCATCATATTGGTGTGGAGGCCATGCCTTGTCATGTAGGTTAATGACAGGACTGGTGTTCATTCATCATCATATTGGTGTGGAGGCCATGCCTTGTCATGTAGGTTAATGACAGGACTGGTGGTCATTCATCATCATATTGGTGTGGAGGCCATGCCTTGTCATGTAGGTTAATGACAGGACTGGTGGTCATTCATCATCATATTGGTGTGGAGGCCATGCCTTGTCATGTAGGTTAATGACAGGACTGGTGTTCATTCATCATCATATTGGTGTGGAGGCCATGCCTTGTCATGTAGGTTAATGACAGGACTGGTGGTCATTCATCATCATATTGGTGTGGAGGCCATGCCTTGTCATGTAGGTTAATGACACGACTGGTGGTCATTCATCATCATATTGGTGTGGAGGCCATGCCTTGTCATGTAGGTTAATGACAGGACTGGTGTTCATTCATCATCATATTGGTGTGGAGGCCATGCCTTGTCATGTAGGTTAATGACAGGACTGGTGGTCATTCATCATCATATTGGTGTGGAGGCCATGCCTTGTCATGTAGGTTAATGACACGACTGGTGGTCATTCATCATCATATTGGTGTGGAGGCCATGCCTTGTCATGTAGGTTAATGACAGGACTGGTGGTCATTCATCATCATATTGGTGTGGAGGCCATGCCTTGTCATGTAGGTTAATGACAGGACTGGTGTTCATTCATCATCATATTGGTGTGGAGGCCATGCCTTGTCATGTAGGTTAATGACAGGACTGGTGGTCATTCATCATCATATTGGTGTGGAGGCCATGCCTTGTCATGTAGGTTAATGACACGACTGGTGGTCATTCATCATCATATTGGTGTGGAGGCCATGCCTTGTCATGTAGGTTAATGACAGGACTGGTGGTCATTCATCATCATATTGGTGTGGAGGCCATGCCTTGTCATGTAGGTTAATGACAGGACTGGTGGTCATTCATCATCTTTTGTTTTGAACAGACCAACGAAGCTTTTTTGGTGTTACACAAAATAAACTTCTAACGTTATCGTGGTCCCTAGTGCTGTGAATTCCATCAACAAACTGCCCTTACGATCCCAGAACACTGACTCTAATTTTTTGTTCAGAAAAAGTTTGCTTGTATTTTCTGGGGCGCTTATTTAGATAATAAGTATGCATCAACTGTTTTGACTGTTCCTTTGTCTCTGCATTCATGAAGTGAACCCATATCTCGTTCCGTCACTGTTCTGTCGAGAAATACATTCTCATATTTCCAGTAGCATGGAAGGAGTGTCAAAGCTGGACATTTTGACCTTTTGCTTGAAGAAAACAAGCCATTTGCCTTCTGCTTGAAGAAAACAAGCCATACCATGAATTTCACAGATGAAAAGTTCTGGTTGTTCAGTGGAAAGTTCTGGTTGTTGGTCCACTTCTGGACTTTAGTCTTGTTCTAGAACTTTTGTTCTGCATGCACATGTATTTGATAGATCAGGCTAACTTTTGTGTAAACGGTCGGTTGGTTGTCTCCCAGACAGATGCACTTCAACCTCAACGGAAAAACCTCCAGTTAGTCAGCTTTAATGATATGCTTGTGGTGGATCCATTCTTGTTTCCCTCAAAATACCCTCCCCTCCAATCCCTGAACTAGCCAGTTAACAACTCATAATCTGTCACTAAGACAGATCTGTATGTGTGTGTGTGTGTGTGTGTGTGAGGGGGGGGGGGGGGGGGGAGTGAATACTGTAATTGTGTATGCATGTATGGATTACGGCATGCACTAGATACAGCATTTAACAGATTAACTGAGAAAGGTGTTGAAAGTGTCTTGTACAAGCATCTTTGTTTTGTTTATACAGGTTGTAGGTAGTATGGATGCCCACCCTAGTCGTTATTCTGCCACTGTTCGAGTCCAAGAACACCGGCAAGAAATCATCCGAGACCTGGCCACGATGGTGAAGGAGTTGCTGATTCAATTCTATCGAGCCACCAGGTTCAAGCCCACAAGAATAATCTTCTATCGTGATGGTGTTAGCGAAGGTCAATTCAACACGGTTAGTTTCACTCAATGGATTCATGGGATCTTAGTGGCTGTCATGGTATAATTCATATTACAGTTTGGTTGATTGGCTGGTGACTGGTTGGTGATTGATAACTGGCTACTTAGTTGGCTGGTTGATTGGCTGGTAACTTGTTGATTGGTAAGTAGTTGGCTGATCCGTAACTGGCTAGTTGATTGGCTGGTAACTTGATGATTGGTAAGGGGTTGGCTGATCGGTAACAGGCTAGTTGATTGGCTGGTAACTTGATGTTTGGTAAGTGGTTGGCTGATCGGTAACTGGCTACTTGATTGGCTTGTTGATTGACTGGTAACTAGTTGATTTGTAACTGGCTAGTTGTTTGGCTGGTAACTTGTTGATTGGTAAGTGGTTGGCTGATCGATAACTAGTTGATTGGCTGGTAACTTGATGATTGGTAAATGGTTGGCTGATTGGTAACTGTCTAGTTGATTGGCTGGTAACTGGCAAGTTGATTGGCTGTCTAGTTGAATGGCTGGTAACTGGTTGGCAACAGGCTACTTGGTTGGCTGGCAAGCCTTATTCTTTGCCATACCTACTTTTGCATTTTTACTATGAATTTTAATATATGCACATAGGTGCTTGATATATAATACAACTGCTGTATGAAATATAAGTGTTAGAAAGAGCCAAATATAAGACAGGCCTGCATGCCCTATTTGTCACCCTTTAGAAATCAAGTTTATTCATTTGTCAATGTCAAAGAGGAAAATAATGTAGGGATTACATGAAGATAATGGCAGTAGAGAACAAAAGATAGGTCATGGTATTCGTTGGTTGAGAACCTGTGCTCTGTTTGGGCAATAAGGACTAGAAAAAAACAATAGTTGGACAAGCAGCAATAACCTTGCAGACTGCAGTCACAAGGGGAACAACTACCACCTCAAGCAACAAAAAAGTTTTTCTGTAAACTTATAAAAAAAGGAAATTTTGCATGTGGAAGTTGATTTATTTTGTGATCAATAATTGTACAGGTGCTCAGCCATGAGTTAAGGGCAGTGCGAGAAGCCTGCATGAAGCTTGAGGTGGACTACCAGCCTGGTATCACATTCATCGTTGTCCAGAAGAGGCATCACACTCGTCTCTTCTGTGCCGACCGCCGAGACCAAACAGGGAAAAGTGGAAACATTCCCGCTGGAACCACCGTAGACCAAGGCATCACACACCCCACAGAGTTTGACTTCTATCTCTGCTCCCATGCCGGCATTCAGGTAGGATATCTCAACAAGTCAGGTATTCACGAATGATAGGATTTGACATATTCTAAATCCTGGCCTTGTGATATGAGGTGACCAGTTCAAATTTTGCCACCTCTCCTTCGTGTTAAACTGGCATCACTTATACAGAGGTTGTGGGCCCACCAGACCTGAAAGTATGTCGCTCATCTGTTCTTATTCTTCCTCTCCAGTTACTTCATTTTCTTCTTCTTCCTTTTCATCTTAGTTAGCTGGGTATAAACTGGAGAGAAAATTTCTGGTTGTTTGCCGCTTCTGGACTTTAGGGTCTTGATCCAGGACTAGAATATTGCGTGCACATCCATTTTACAAATCTAGCTTAAGCTTAATTGTATGCAGACTTTTGGTTCCTTGCCTCTCAAGCAGAGGCAGCCCATCTTTGAAGGAAACACCTCCATTTGTTGCCTTGTACGACCTGCTTGTTTGGAGGGGGGGGGGGGGGGGGGGCAGTGATTCTATTCTTTTTTTCCCTCCACACTGGGGCCCTTAAATCCAGCTGGTTGATATTTCTGTAGCACATGACTGTTTGTGACAGTTTACCAGGGCATTCTCTTGACCAAATCATGTGATCTGTTTTTTTTAAAGAATTGTGTGACTGGTTTCATCCAGGGCTTCTCATTTCTTCATTTTCGTCTCCATTTCATCTCTGCTTGTTACTCTGCCAGCTCTGCTTGTTACTCTGCCAGCTCTGCTTGTTACTCTGCCAGCTCTGCTTGTTACTCTGCCAGCTCTGCTTGTTACTCTGCCAGCTCTGCTTGTTACTCTGCCAGCTCTGCTTGTTACTCTGCCAGCTCTGCTTGTTACTCTGCCAGCTCTGATTGTTACTCTGCCAGCTCTGATTGTTACTCTGCCAGCTCTGATTGTTACTCTGCCAGCTCTGATTGTTACTCTGCCAGCTCTGATTGTTACTCTGCCAGCTCTGCTAAAACATCTCACTGCTCTCTTAATGATTTTCCAATCATACATTATAGTAATGGCCCTCAGTGAGAACATTATGTCACATATGAAATCTGGCCAACAATTGTCTCATCAAGATAACCCTGCATTCTCAAGCCTGCTGACGATCTCTTGCTTGATGTATGTACAAATAAGACAGACACAATTCTTTGGTCATATCAGGTGACATAATAAGCTATAATGGGGAGGGGGGGGGGGGGGGGGGAATTGGGAATGAAAGAACTAGAGAGCATTGTTGATATGTAAATGAACAAAAATTGTGAAGATATTAGGAAACGTTATAGCTTGGGAAGAAAAACTGATAACCAACCACATTACACTGTTTTCTTTTTTATTGCCATCTGCTTCCTAAAGGACCCCTCTCTCTCTCTCTCTCTCTCTCTCTCTCTCTCTCTCTCTCTCTCTCTCTCTCTCTCTCTCTCTCTCTCTCTCTCTCTCTCTCTCTCTCTCTTCTCTCTCTCTCTTTCTCTCTCTCTTCTCTCTCTCTCTTCTCTCCTCTCCCTCCCTCCCCTCCCCCCTCTCTCTTCTCTCCTCTCCCTCCCTCCCCTCCCCCCCCCTCTCTCTCTCTCTCTCTCTCTCTCTCTCTCTCTCTCTCTCTCTCTCTCTCTCTCTCTCTCTCTCTCTCTCTGTGTGTGTGTGTTTATTTTTGTGTCCTGTGTGTGTGTGTAAATAAATCAATCAGTAAGAACCTCATTCACACACTTTGTGAGCTGAAACTTGTGTGCTAACTGGGGACCAATAAAAATGCATCCCTGCTGGGTCATAATTTTGTTCATGTTAATCAACGAGTGCTCTTAGGCAAGTTCATGTTAACAAGCTTCTGCTGGACATACATGGCTGAGTGATAATGCTTTCCTGAATCTATTGATCTCCAACGGTGAAGTCATGTTTTGGCGTCTTTCCATGCTGAAGATGGACAAGAATCGTTTCTCGCTGTCTTCTACCTCCATCTTTATTATCTGTAATATTTTGTCAGTTGTCACATCTTCCAGTTTTACTGTTGTCATAATGTGACCAAATATGACTGTCTCATTCTGACGTTTGTCATAAGTCGTCTCTGTGTAAGCTTTTTTTTCAAAACATTTCAGTTATTCAGTTTCAATGTCAAAGGATTTGTAAACATGCTTCTGTAAACACATCTGGTTTCTGAGGCTTTACGCAGGATTTACAGCCATTTGTTAAAATGAGTTTTGCTAATCTTTTTGTGAGGTAGATTGTTAACTGATGTTGTTTCCTCCCTAGGGCACCAGCCGCCCATCTCATTACCATGTATTATGGGATGATAACAGATTCAATGCCGATGAACTTCAAATCCTCACATATCAACTGTGCCATACGTATGTACGCTGTACACGCTCTGTATCGATTCCAGCTCCTGCCTACTACGCACATCTCGTAGCCTTCAGGGCACGCTATCACTTGGTGGAGAAGGAGCACGACAGGTGAGTTTCTGGGAGGTTTGAGTTCTCCAGCTTCGTCTCTTGTGTTGTCTGTCAAATTGATCTGTCACGTTCTTTGTTCTGTTGTGTAGGATTCTCCTCGTGATCATTGCTGATGAAGAGTCAAGTTGAGAGTCTGAGTCGTAGCAATGGCAATAGCTAACACCAGACTGGACATTGGGCAGTAGTCGAGGAAACTGATCAGAAGAGTGCTAGACAAATCCATGTCCGGGTTCTGGACTCCGTTGGGGGGGGGGGGGGGGGGGGGGGGCGCACTGTTTCCCTAACAAGCATGTCAGAAAAAGCAATTGTGTAAGGGTTTGCTGATATCGGATGTGTTTGGCCAAGAGGCACAGATATCCCAGCCTAGCTGTAAACCGGAACACTTTGAGCCAACCTCCCATTTTAGGACATATGCAGAAGAAGAAGAATTCTGGAAAATAGTATTCTGGACAAAATATACTTAGCGACCACAGGTACGCAAAGCTAAGGCATTTTCACTGTATCTGTGAATTCTGGCTAGTTCAGTCAGAAATTCACATTATTTTCCCCAGTGCAAATGTAAATAATGACATAATCAGTGTATTGTTTGGTTTGTTACCTGGATATTTCACTGTATCTGTGAATTCTGGCTAGTTCAGTCAAAAACTCACATTATTTTCCCCAGTGCAAATGTAAATAATGACAAAAAGTGTATTGTATGGTTTGTTACCTGGATATTTCACTGTATCCTGTCATGTGCAGTACTACAGAGATTACATCATCATATAATAAAATATCCCGTACAGTGACAATTAGTCTCTTGCAGCATTGTACATCTCACCTTGGAATCCTTGGATTAACCACATACTGCTTTTGTTTACATAATGTGAGGTGACCCTTCATGATTCCGTCTGCTTCTGCAAATTTCAAAATGGCATCAGTCCAGTGTGTGATAAATTAACCTGAAAGGTTTCATCTGCATCAGTTTGAGGAATGTGAAGACAGATACGCTTTGCGCAGCATGGCACTGTTCACTTCGGAGATCATGGATGAGGAGCATTGTCTGGATCTTTTCTGCAAGATATGTCAATGTATTGGGAAATGAACAGGCTGACGGACTGTCTGGATCTGCACGACATTTTGGAATATTGACGCATGATAGGGCAGACGGGGTTAGGGCGTTGTGGGAGAACTTGTACACTTCGGAGGAGGAAATGGATCACCACAGTCTGGTGATAGTAATGCAGCCGAGAGTGACGAGGGGTTCTGGTCGATGCTCAGAGAAAAGGCAAGATGGACATGTAATCAGAATGCTCTGGTACTGTGCGATTGCTGCAGAAGATGAGAACAGAGCGCTTATGGGAATGCCCTGAGTTCTTGAACCAAGTCAACTCAGCTCAGTCTTCATCTGCCTTAGTCTAGCAGATGACCTACTATAGATGGATATCTTCTTCTTCCCTATGACCGGCTGTAATCTCCTGCGAAAACTTATGGTTTTCGTCCACTTTAGGACTTTAATTTTGTTCCAGAACTTTAGTGTTGCATGCACGTCCCTTTTGCAAATCTGGTTTATTTGTATGTCTGTCTGTTGGTTCCTTACATCAGGCAGATCAGTCAGACTCGGAAAGAAACAGCCCTAATTAGTCGACTTCTATAACGTGCTTATTGCTTACTTTCTGGCCTGAAGGTTTTCTGCTAAAATCCTCATCGAGTGGGATGTTTTTTCTTCTAAAAGCCTTGGCTTCCAGGTCAGCCCAAACTCACAGGGTACCAGATCGAGTACTGGGAAGCAGAAGTGGCCGTCATGATAAAGTCTGCCTCGTCCGCTGAGGGCGGATTGATCTATAAATACACAGGACTAACACCAAATGCAGGTCTGCAACAAGACCACAGTCAGGAAGTCGAAGAACCTGAAGTTTCCGCTAGAGTTCACAGCCGAAGAGCTCATATTTTTTGGGAAACAAAAAGAGTCCAGTACAGAGCTTCTGGGGAGACTACGAATGAAAAGAGAGTTACTAAAAGAAATAAAATAAAGACACTTGAAATACTTTTGGTACATTGAAAGACATTACATGCTTATGAAACCCATACTCGAGGGAAAGGTTGTGGGCAACACAGCAAAAGGTGGACAGTTATACAAGTGAGAGGGCAACATCAAGAGATACATGAACAGCTGTCTGAGAGTGTACAACCAGGACAAGAAAAAAAAAAACTTCGGAGGAAGTCCATTGCAACCAACCTTCAGTGTGGAGATGGCACCTGATTGATAATGACAGCTGGTGAACGTGAAGAAGAAGAAGAAGAAGTAAAAATGGCTAGAGAAACACTGTTAGCTGACTGTGTTTTATTTAATCATGCTTTGCTAGAACATTCCACAATAGCTAATACAGTTTCATGTTTGCATTTGTTTTGTTTTGTAGTTCTGTTCGCAGGTACGAGATTTATTTCATCAAATTTCTCCTCAGCTGTTTTTTTTTTTTTTTTAAATAAAAGTCTGTCCAACACGACTTTCCAGTTACACACCGCAGTCCATAACTCGTATGCATGGCTCTTAATACTGAGTACCTCACTTGCATTCATATAATTAAAGTCACATTCTGCTGAATGATATAAGCATCTTTAAATCAAGTTTTCATTTGATAAATCAGACAATATTAGAGTATTGTTGCTGCTATGTGACTTTGTAACAGTAAAAACAAAACAAACAGTGGCAGCAGATTATCGCAGCAACAGTGTTAAAGCAAAGACCATGTTATTGATTTAAATCTCTGGGCAGCTTGATAACAGCAGATGAATAGTTTACAGCAGACAGAAGATGTCTAAAGAAGGAGAAATGTTGAATAGCTCAAGTCAGAGTAACATTTTACAGAATTATGAGTATTTGAAGTAATATCTTTACACTGAAGATGAACAAGAGATGTGTATTAAATAGAGCCAGTCCTGCAAGTCTAAGATGAGTCAATGCTTGTCTTAGTGAGCGTTCAGTCCTGTGGAGTGATCCTGCGTGGAGTCGTCCCGGCTGCAAATATTGAAAACCCTTTGCCTCATGCCCTGAAGATCGTGTGTTCGTTTCACGCATGTATCTTTCAGTTCATGATTCCTGGGGTCATCATGGGAGCTATAGAGTTCTTACTTTGTGTAAAGCTCTTTTCAGATAGCTAGCTGTTCTGTGGAACAAACAAACAAACCAACTTTATTTTCAAAGGGTCAGAAATTGGGCACGCAGACCCATCTTACATTTGGCCCTTTCAGACACCCATTTTTCTCACAGCAGTTGTCTTTTATCAATAAAGCATGTTATGTTCATATAATAAATAGTATGCAAATTATGAATATCAAGCAAGAACACAAAAGCATGTGTGGTCAAATGCATGTACATATGCTTGCATATACACACCCACATACACATACAAACCCACTCACTGACTTACACACATTTACACCCACATACATATATACATACTGATCCACATACACACATCACTCAACAAAATACACACACACCTAAAGACACAAGCACAGCAACACACAAGCACACTCGCACACACATGAACACAAACACAGTCTCACACACACACGCAAACACACAGACACAACAAACACACAGACATGCACATACACATTCACCGATACACAAACAGTCACAGACATGCACATACACATTCACCGACACGCAAACACTCACAGACACCTGCAGATACACAGACACATGCAGACACACAAACACACACACACAAACACATGCACAAACATACACAGATACACATGCACTAACACACACAAACCCACAGTCACAAACACTCTCTCTCTCAAAGACACGTTCAAACACAAGACACACACACACACACACACACAGAGAAAGCATGCACACACACAGCTCAAAGACACATGCGCAGCCACACGCACATGCAGGCACAGACACACACTCAGACATGCACACACACACACACAGACACTCTCCTGTAGAGAGAGACTAAGCTGTATGGGATAAGACGTGGTACATTTAAGTCTGTCTTCTCAGCTTTCACCTTCACCTAAAGCCTGATGTGGCTGGACATGAATCCTGGACAGTCATCCAATTAGTGAGGTCCTAAAGTTTGGCATGTAATGTGAACATTATGGGGAGATCAGAAAATTCATGAAGACATTTTGAAATAGGCTATCAAAAGAAACACGTTTCTGCTGCAGAAAGGATCCTAGACAAGAAACCAGTTACATACATGAATGGGCCTAGAGGCTTTTAGGATACAGACACCAGTTAGGCAGCATTAGTGAATTTGTTTGCTGTAGTCATTTGAGAGGTGGGGGACAGACACCAGTTGGGCAGCATTAATCAATTTGTTTGCTGTAGTCATTTGAGAGGTGGGGGACAGACACCAGTTGGGCAGCATTAATTAATTTGTTTGCTGTAGTCATTTGAGAGGTGGGGGACAGACACCAGTTGGGCAGCATTAATCAATTTGTTTGCTGTAGTCATTTGAGAGGTGGGGGACAGACACCAGTTGGGCAGCATTAATCAATTTGTTTGCTGTAGTCATTTGAGAGGTGGGGGACAGACACCAGTTGGGCAGCATTAATCAATTTGTTTGCTGTAGTCATTTGAGAGGTGGGGGACAGACACCAGTTGGGCAGCATTAATCAATTTGTTTGCTGTAGTCATTTGAGAGGTGGGGGACAGACACCAGTTGGGCAGCATTAATCAATTTGTTTGCTGTAGTCATTTGAGAGGTGGGGGACAGACACCAGTTGGGCAGCATTAATCAATTTGTTTGCTGTAGTCATTTGAGAGGTGGGGGACAGACACCAGTTGGGCAGCATTAATCAATTTGTTTGCTGTAGTCATTTGAGAGGTGGGGGACAGACACCAGTTGGGCAGCATTAATCAATTTGTTTGCTGTAGTCATTTGAGAGGTGGGGGACAGACACCAGTTGGGCAGCATTAATCAATTTGTTTGCTGTAGTCATTTGAGTGTTGGGGGACAGACACCAGTTGGGCAGCATTAATCAATTTGTTTGCTGTA